TGCAAAATAAATTAGTAGTTACAGCTGACGTGGCCTAGACAACGAGGTTCTGCCACTTTGTGCAACAATGTAGCCGTACATTATATTTGTAAAGACTTCACTTTTTTTTTCCAAAATGGTTCCTGTATTAATTTAAATTGTTTCAAGATATTTAAATCTGTAATTTGACGTGTAGATAAAAAGATATAATTATTTAAGCTGTTTTATGCAAATATATAAAAATTAAAAAAAAAAAATGTCCTCATTTTTGTAATTATTTTTCCGATTCGATTCTCAAGTTACTCCTTTAAATATTCTTTAAATCAACCGCCATTTTTATAGGTAGCAAGATACAGCTGAAGTGGCCTAAGCAACGAGGCTCTGCCACTTTGTGCAACAATGTAGCCGTACATTATATTTGTAAAGACTTCACTTTTTTTTTTTCCAAAATGGTTCCTGTATTAATTTAAATTGTTTCAAGATATTTAAATCTGTAATTTGACGTGTAGATAAAAAGATATAATTATTTAAGGTGTTTTATGCAAATATAGACAAATTAAAAAAAAAAAAATGTCCTCATTTTTCCAATGATTTTTCCGATTCGATTCTCAAGTTACTCCTTTAAATATTCTTTAAATCAACCGCCATTTTTATAGGTAGCAAGATACTACCGGCAGATTATTTTTTTTTTTTAAATATAAATGTTATAAATATTAACAAAAAATATTTTGGGTGATAAATATTTAAGACGCAGTCATTATAAAGATTTTATTAGTGCCGACGTTTCAACCCAAACATGTGGGTCATCATCAGGGTTAAAAATTGTAAATACAATAGATATACATTATATTTAATTTTTATAACATTTTACAAATTCCATTTGTAATATTAGTTAAGATTCATGTACCATCAATCACTACAGTTTATTATTACCATTACCGGTCGTATAATATTATATCTCTGAAAGTAATTTAAATTTTCCAGCCCTAATGATGCCCTAAATGTTAGTGTTGAAACGTTGGCACTTAAAAAAATTGTATAATGACTGCGTCCTGAATTATTATAACCCATGATATGTAGAACAGTCGACTAACTTCCTTCAATAATTCAATATATACAATAATTTAAATAATATTATGTAAAGAATAAAAATAAAAAAACCACATATATGGAAAGAAAAAGCAAAATCTTCAGAAAAGAGACAAATATTAAAATGAATTAAAGAGAAATTATTGACAACTTTTTATGTCAAAACATAAACCATAAGAACAATGGGATCACAATATTGCACTATCGCGGCTGAAGAAAGTAGAATAACGATATAAATTAGAGAAACAAAAGAAAAGAAAAAAATAGTACAATAAAATGAAATATTTATATATGTTACATAAGAGAGTTGATTTAATACTCGCAATGTTATTCTAAACTACATACAAAAAATAGATTAAGCGGGGAAAAAATATACATATATAAATATTGGGAAGTGTAAAAAAAAATTGAATACAGAATGGATAAAAACAAACAATTTATTTCTTTTTTTTCTTCTTCATCACATGGCTATGTCAAAAGTGTTAAAAAACAAAAGAAGATACTTTTTTTGCACCAAACGCTGGTGACTTGAGCAACAGCTAAAAATGAACGTTAAAAACTGAAAAATATTTTTTATTTTTTAGTTTGTACAACCGCCAAACAAAAATAAAACATTTTCAGAGTCGGACTAGTTTTGTATAAAAGTCTACTTATGAAATAAATGTTTTCTAACTTTATCGCAGACAATGTGTAAAAAAAATCACGTGAAAATGGAGGCGACAAATTAAAGCTGAATGAATCATAAAGTTCTATGATATGTTTCTATATGATTATTCCTGAATATAAATGAAAATTTAAATAATAGGAATATTTATTCCGTGATAATATAGTAATGTACCTACTTATGTACCATAGTCGAGCCAGTAGCTCGTCGACTTTTCTTATAGCCGTAATCGATTTTAGTTTAGTTTTTTATTCATTTATATAGCTTATTCATAATCATTTTAAAAAAAAAAAAAATATTGAGGGGGAGGAGACGAAACGGAGAGGACTTATCAACATTTTTATAAGGAGGGGGGCGATCTACCCCTTTACCCCCCTCTTTCACTGAAGCCTACCCCTATGGTGGTGATTAATTGCAACTATTTAATTTGACAGGTAAATTTGATTGCCGCAGTGACTGCGTGCAATTCTGATTAACTGTAAATAGAATCCTGAAGCTTAAGAGACCAGAAAAACTGAAGAAGATATTTAGAGATGAAACGAACGAGTGGCATAATATTAGTATTGTTTAATGTGTAAAACAGCCAGCCAGCCCTCTATGATTAGCGTACACAATATACAGAATTTTATCTATCTACTATATATTAAAAACATATTATTATTTATTAGGTATATGTATTACGGATTTATCACAATTTCTCCCATATACATTTATTTTGAACTCTGTTTCCTTATCCTCATAATTTACCTACCAAAGACTGTGCTTCAAAACCCGCTATTGTTTTGATCAAAACATTAACTATGATCTATGATAAATTAACACAATCATTTTAACTCCTACTCTACTTAATTTCACATAATATGCTAACCAAAATACTATAAATACTATGAGAATTATTCACACAAGACTGATGGAAAAATCTCGTATTTTAATTAAAATTACGGATTTTTCTCAATAGCTTTGAAAATCAACATGATAATTTAAAAAAAAAACTATGGTTACTCAAAATTATTAATGTTACTTATTTATTTATTAAATAATTATTTTAATATACTTTTATATCATTATTATTAATAAATAGGGAGCTGGGTAGCTCAATGGGTGAGCACTGACTTCCAGATATCAAGATTCCGGGTTCGACTCCGGCTGATGACTAGTAAATTTTTATCAGCCGTGATTCGACTCTGGGGACGAGTCAAATCTAGCCTCTATAAAGTGGGTACTTTTAATTAAATAATTAATTAAAGGAGAATTGAGTGGTACCAGTTTTTTTATTATTAATAAATAAATAAATTATTTAACATTTATTATTTATACAGAAAGCTGTTAAATAAGATAAAATTTGATTCAAATTATTCCATGAAGAGATGCGATATAACGGTACGATAGCTGTAGAGCCTAGAACCTTGAAAAGATGATTGGAGACAAATTAGAAAGCAGTTGACCTATGCAGAATACGAGAGGATGAGCAAAATCCATTAGCTCTTCTACATCACTTTCTAAATATAGTCAACTACAAGAAGGAAATACTTCGAAACGATAATTTCTTACTCAACAAAATCATCACAACCAGCATATAATAAAAAACATACCCATTCTAGAAGAAATAATTTAAATCATCATCTCTTTGAAAAAATAAATAAATAAAAGTAACTTGTCCCCTAAGAACAAGTTATATTTGTTAGAAGACAATAGAGGAATAATTAATTAACATAATTGGTTAGATAGTTAGGTTAATAAACTAAAATTTTAAAAAAGCTTAGCACAAACTTATTAAAAAAAAAGTTAAAAAGAAAAATAACTTTACTTCTGGCCAGAACTATTACATTAAATAATAAAACTCAAGTATTCAAATAGTATATTCAAAATCCAATAATGTAAATATTTAAATCAACATACAATACTAATAAGAAACGAAACGAAATAATTGCTACTTGACTTTAAAAAAATAATAAAAAAGATAGGAAGGGAAACAATAAAAGAGAAATATGTTCCTCTGATCTATAAGCCCCAATTAAAAGTAGACAGAGAAACCAGTAAAATAAATGAGTTTACTGTATAATTTAATATCAATTTAATTTAAATAAACAATTAGTTAATTATTATTAGAAGACGACGCTCAGTAGAAAGAGTTTTTGTATAAAGTTTATAACGTCCATTGTAACCATTTCGCCATTTCGAAGTCGTCAAGAGAAAGTATTCAAGAAATGTAGATAGTGATGGTGGAAGATGTTTTGTTTATTAGGACCGTTTTATTTTGTAAGGTTACAGCAAATAAACTTAGAAATATCGGGAATTATATCTTACTGGTTACTTTATGAAATAAATTTAAAATAATTACATATTATAATGTAATTATTTATAAGATAATCTGTTGAGTGCTTTCTATCCCTCCCACATGCTATTCCACATTGAAGGCGTTATTTAAGATACTGCAGGAGCCGAATAATAATTAAATCCATCTCATTTCATGACCAAATAATTATTAAAATTAAAATAAAACAAATAAAGCTACTTTATTAAGTAATTATTAGATTTAGGGAGCTAAGTGTAACTATCATATAAAATAAAAACAAAATAAAATTTAGCTTAAAAAAACACATTTAATATACTTAATATAATACCTCACTTCAATACAAATAAAAAAAATAGTGAGATGATATCAGAGATACAGTGGGTGACAATTTAGTTAAAATATAGTTTAAAAAAATAATAAAATAAAAATATATAATTATTTAATAAAGATTTTATCATTATAAAGCAGCACGGTTCTCGAACTCTTTTTGCTGAAGGACCAATGTTAATCTAAAAAAATAATAATTGCAGCACACTTGCAAGAGGAATAACTCTTAGCATACTTATCCTTAAATATAATATCATTACATTTTTCCTTTTAACGCCAAATCGCCTATTTGGATGTTATATATTAAAAATTTAAATTGATATATTACTGCAGTGGCATACTTAACATATGTTTTACACAGTTTTGGAGAGAACGACTGATGGATAGAACTTGTATATTAAATATCAATTAAATAACTTTAAAACAAAAAAATTGGGCAACAAATGGAAAATAATAACCATTAATCAAATACCAAATAACACTTTCTGGATCCAATCTATAACTACTAAATGAAATGGAACAGATCTTCACAAGTAATATGGTAATTTTCTCTCACCTCCTTGATACGTATCCAACACGACAGACAGACCACAGCAAAGCTTGCTAGCTAGCTAGAGCTCTAACTAATCTATGTAGTTATAATATATGTTACTCCGGTGGAAACCGACTCAGCGAGCTCTAGACCTGAGCTACGATGAAGAGAACAGGTTCCTCGAGAGGAGAAATTTCCGTTAGCGGCAGAACCAGTATTGTACCTCTACGCTTTACCGAAAAAACGGAAAAATATTATATAACCGGTTTTGTTTGGGTTTTTTTTTTTTAATTTTCTTCCGACAGGGAAATCATCATTAGTTCGCGTTTAGCAGCACAAACAAGTACGGTTAGGGAAAGAAAAAATAAGTATTATTTCTCTTAACAGTAATTTTAATGTTCTCTTATTAGAACTATTTTTTAAATATAACGAAAAAATAATCCCAGAGCGAGCCATGAACTCGTTAAAGAAATATTTTAGAAATTCAACCGAAAACTTTATTTCCTAATGAATATTTAATAGTTGGCCGTTGCATTATAAAGGAAGGAGATGGTCCGGGGTGGCGGTCATAAATAGGCTAAATAGTGGTAAAACTATTTTATGGAAAGCAGACGTTTCGATCTGACTTTGCAGGTCTTCTTCATCGATTTACTTCAGTAACTTAGCTTACTTTGTTCATATTTTAATGAACTTACTGTTTATAATGTTTATATAAATAATATATAAATTTTGTCTAAATATTATATAATTGCCACAATTCTCTATCTTTTTCTTTCTAGCCCTGAAGAAGACCTGCAAAGTCGGGTCGAAACGTGGCATTTCAATAAAATAGTTTTACCACTATTTAGCCTATTTATGGCCGCCACTCCGGACCATCTCCTTCCTCTATATTTCCTAATATTAAATATATAAAGTAGTTTTTAGTAATATAGTAGTTGAAAACCACACAACAAATTTTTTAACACTTTATGAAACAGCTGAAATGAAAATAGAGGATGCAGACAAGTTAAACAGAACACAGGAGGGGGAGATGCAATGCGAGATCTCGACATTCACGTAAAAAATAATAGGCCCACTGCCCTCAATAATTATTTTGATCACATAGCCTCTTTACACGAATGTTAGAAATCAAAACGGATTCCTTAAAAAACAAAACAAATTCTGACTGATCGTTAAGTGAAGATGGTGTATGGTCATCAGTAGCTTATTGTTATCATTTTGGCCAAACCGAAAATAACTTTCGGAAAGCATCAAATGACACGCATGAAAAAAAAACATCATGTGACCATTAACGCTATTTTTCAATTCGACCTCCGCAGAGGCGTAGTTGATACAGTATATATATAAGCAGATAAACAATTCTGACGAACACAGAATAAAAAGTCTTAAACGTTCCAAAAAAAAAAAAAAAAAAATTAAAAAAAAAAAATAAATAATATTTTGAAAATTAAATGAGTAAGCCGAAACGTTAAGGCAGGGGTCTCTGAAGGTTTTGGCCCGCGGGCCACATTGTGAACTCCACATAGTCCATTTAAGTTCCGCGAGGCGTGGATAGTAATGAAAAAAAACATGGAAAAAATGTTTAAGTAACGTCTGGTGTGAATAATTTACTAAATTTCATATTTTTTAAATTTTACCATTTAATTAAAGAAACTTCCGCAGACAGTAATTAGAAGGACCTATGTCAAGATTATAAAGGGTTGGACAAGTGACATGGAGATAAAAGATCTTCCACTCATTCTTCTTGTACTGTTATTCATTTTTATTATTTCATACACAGAAAAAGCTCTCAGTGTAACTATGACAAAAATCATTAAAATAAAGAGTAGCGTTAAAACAACACTAACTCAAATGTTCTCATCAATGATAAAAATCGTCATAGAGCTCGATTAAAGATATTCTTTAATATTTGTATGCTTACTTGCTTTATTCAGGGTTTTCAGTTCTTTTATATTGTTCTGTTCTTTCATTGTAGAACAAATTAATTATAATGAATCAATTACTTTGAATACATTCCCTACAATAATACTGAATAATGAGAAGCATTAATAGGGACAATGCTTCATTTAATATTTCATCTTAAAAATAGATAGGGCTGTGAAAACTTAAGTGTTCTTCCGTGTCTTTATGATAATTATAATGCTTGAATAATAAATCATGTATTTTATTATAAAAACTTAATTACTAAAATTATATTATAACCAGTACAATATTATTTTTATTGATACTTTTATACAGTAAATTCTATATCATTTGAGGATGGATAATTAGGAAGCAGTCATTTTAAGATTTCCTTATTCTTGCTGACGTTTCAACCCAAACACGTGGGTCATCAGGCCACCATGTTTGGGTTGAAACGTCGAAAACTTTGAAAAAAATCTTAAAAGGCCTGCTTCCTCATTATTTATGTTTTGGCATATGTAGAAAGGTCGATTAAATTCCTTTAATAATTAATGGGTGATAAATATTCAGGACGCAGTCTTTTTTAAATTTTTTTATTTTTGCCAACGTTTTAACCCAAACATGGTGGCCTGATGACCCACGTGTTTGGGTTGAAACGTCAGCAAGAATAACGAAATCTTAAAATGACTGCTTCCTAATTATTCATCCTCAAATGATATAGAATTTACTGTATAAAAATATCAATAAAAATAATATTGTACTGGTTATAATATAATTTTAAAATAAATTAATTATAGCAATAAAAAAATAGATCTAAAGGAAAAAGTAGGTATAATAAGACTTAATCCAGTTAGGTCTTACATAAGACACTAAATATATATTTATTCCATTCTTATTTATTGAAAAAAAAAAAGATGAGTACTGTTGATATATCTTTCGGTACCTGTTCAGGTAGACCGGACCTAAGCCTACCTTTTGCCCAAGCAGGTCAGAATGGAGGATTAGAAATGGCAAGGGATTCTAATTACTAAAAGATCTTCCCCTATCTTAAACATTAGCAACTCAGCCCACCCTTGGGTATTTGGGCATCACTACTTCATGTTAATAATTATAAATAGAAGTGAAAAGTTGAGAAATATATAAAGTAAATACAAAAAAATTTCGAGGACCATGGACACATATTGAATCACACCACCGAATATGACAAAACGCTACTCCCTAAAGAAAGCATCGTCACCACATAATTTCCCTCTAATACTATATACTTACTATAGTACTCTATATACTCTTTATACTTAATCGGGCGCTGCAACGCGAAAGGAAAAAAAAAAATTAACTACCCTTCTTATTTTATACATACAAAAAAAATCAACAGAGAACATGCAGCTTGCTACCAGCGAATGCATGACTTCACTCATTTACTGAAAGAAATTTTCTCATTAAAATAGCCTACAATAAAATGCTTACACTGCAACTGTACTCTCACATTATTCAAGGGTGTCTCTATTTCGTATTAATTTTAAACAAATTAGGAATCTTACCAAAACTATCAGTTATTATAAATGATGATGAAGTTAAAATAAAATCGGTGATAAATTTTGACTAAGTTAATGATTTTCTAAACAAAATTTAAATTAGAAGTTTTTTTTATCTAAAAATAATTTAGTACTATAATAGCTAATTGAAACTAATATTATAGATGGGCGTTGATGACCTCCGAGTTTTACACGTTTTGAAGCCTTAAATTCTTTCAACACCTTAAATTTAGCTTAGAAAAAGCCTTTCAGTCTAAAAGTGTATACAAAAATAAATTTAAAAAATCGCCTTTCATATCACTAAATTGTATGATATTAAACGTAAACCTCGACGGTCATACCGAAGTTAATAATTTCAAAAATACTAGTCCAGTCAGTTAAAGCTCAAGAGAACACTTATGTTACTTATGCAATAAGTACTAAAATACTTCAATACATTTTCAATAAATGATAATACGATAAGTTTAAAATAAGACGCGAAATGAAGAAACAGAAGAAGGGACGGAGCAAAGAAGTCGGTCGGATAAAAAGAATAAGAAAAGAGAAGAACAAGTTGGCAAGGGTAACTAAATCAAAGTTGCCCCGAGAACTAACTTTATCCCCGCTCGGCTATCTCCTCCTCCCCCTTCAGTCAGTTTTCAGGCCCCCCCCATTCTATAAATTAAAAGGGGGCCGAGGAGGTGGAGTTTGCAGACCCCCCTTAACAACTTTTAATTTAATTTAAAGTTGGTCCTAATATAAGGCACCTCCTTCGGGTGGGTCGCCACCGGCTGTTTGATGCCCCTCGCTATCCCTGGAGAAGTTGATAATTCCGCTATTCCTGGAGCCCGAGAGGTCGCAGTTATCCAGGTACTGGGACAGGTAGTGAAGGTGTCCACAGGTATCTCGAACCTTCTCGAAACTTACTTTATTAGGCTCAGTCTAGTCATGAACAAGCTTAATGGATACATGGTAACAAAAATAAAACAAAGAGATCTCAACTGGTTTGCATATTATCTTAATTAACAGAGCATAGATAATGTTAGATAATGATAAACACATCAATAGCTGCATGACTAACTTGGCATTTAATAGACTAAGGAGTACTTCTCTATTTATGTATTTCTTTATTTTTTCTCCCCACTTTTATACAGATAATTATTTTATGTAATTGGTAACATGTTGTGCCTTACTCCATATCTTGAGATGAGAGATAAAAAGTTTAATTAAAAATTTACAGAAAAGTAAATATTTCTTTCTAGATTGTGTGCTCAAGTTGAGTAGCTACATCAGACAGAATGACTAACTCCAATTACAACATTTTTGACTGAAGTAATTTTAGTAATATTTCTAGTTGGAAAATTTATAATATCTGTACAGATATTGAGTAAGTATTTTCCAGAGTAGGTGATTGCAATGTTAAAATTATAGAACTGTGAATAAAGGTATACTAGAAATATCACTAAAATTAATAATAAAAAATGTTGAAATTGGAATTAATCATTCTGTCAACTCTAAGGCTCATTCTATATGAATGATGATTTAAACAGAGTACATTGTTATATATCAAGGACATTTAAACAAATAGGTTATTGAATGAAATATTTAGCTCATACCTCTCAAGAAACAAATATAAAAATTGGAAAAATAAATATTGTTTTTATTAGAGGCGTTTTCATATTATTGCGTGTTACTTATTAAAAAATACTGTTGGAAAAAAATAATAAAAAATTAGCAATCAAAATAAATATAGTTTTAAAATTGTGTCAAGTCAATGGTAGATACTTAAATGATGAAAATATGAATCAACTGAAATTTCAATAATAATAAAATGCCTAAGTAAAATTCTTCTATCATCCAAATGTTTCTTAGATTATATTGCTCTATTAAATACGTATTTCTGACAATTTAACGTAACATTTATTTTAACATAAAAGGAAAAAAAATAAATTAAAAATCATTGATTACAATAGGTACATTATTATAGATCTGTTCCTACTCTATTCCTTTATGTAAAAAATTAAATTAAAAGGTCTCATTTAATTTTATGGATACAGATAAAACAAGAATTAATATCTAACAACTAGTTCCATCATTCATGAAAGAACATGATAGTTAAGTGATAAATTAAACTGATACATTAACAAATAACTCTGGAACCGTAACAATGTAACGTAATGTGCCTGCGAAGAGCCTTATTTCACAAGTTAATGAGGTGATTAATTCGGCTAAGTTCGGAGTTGAGGACCCGCGCTATGCAGCAAGTTGGCTAAGCAGTTAAAGCATCCCTGATAAGCACCGGCCAAGTTGGGAATAACTTCGCCAACTGTAGTCGATGGTGGTCGCTGGTCGGGTAGCGGGGCTCTTTCGCGGGCTAATACCCAGCACAACTTTCACCACGGCCTGGCTATATCTACCGGGGGAGAAGGTGCGAGGGAACCGTATAATAATGAATAAATTAGATAAAAATAATAAATACTTATAATATATATATATATATATATATATATATATATATATATATATATATATATATATATATATATATATATATATATATATCCCCAAATATATTATTACAGTAAGGCTCGAAATCTATTTTGTACCAAATATAAGCTCCTGTCTTGCTCAAATACCAGGAATGGAGTACCGTCGGATTCAGAATTTCACGGGGGGTTAGCGAATTGTATCCTCCACTTTTGTTTTTATTTCTAAAATAAGTAATGTCGATACAAAAATTTTGCTAGGCTTCAATATAGGAACGCTGGTAGGTCTGTAGATCGACACGGGACAAATTGGATCATGAAGATTTTGATGCGTACAGCAAGACACGGATAGTTCCGAAGGAAATATCGGATCCTGCGTTTTTAAGCCCACAAACGTGCTATTTTCGAGATAACGCAAGGCATAAGGTTCGCATCCACACAAACTTACATTAATTGTAGTACTGCCATCGAATACACGTCTCATTTCGTCGACGTGAGGTCTCTATGATCGAGAGAGGAGGAGTTTATATTATTTATCGATGGTGTTTTTGATCGGCAAGTCGTATTATCGTTAATTCTTCACCAAATCTCAAGATTGAGCCACCAATTTCGAGGGCTCCCTTCTCCTTCAGGCGGGCAAAATAATCTAATCACCCCGAAAATTCAGGCAAACAAGTTATGTAAGAAAACAAACTTTATTTGCGAATAACTAAAAAATTACACACTTTTCCTTTGGTTATGCCCATGATTGTATAAAAGATAACTAAATTCCGTGCAAAAGGAAAAAAAATATCATCGAAATCGGACAATTTTTAGCAAAGATAGAGCTTATTGAATTTTGTAAATATGTTGTTTCCAAACATTAATGAAGATTTAAATTAATTCTTGTTACCTTTGTCGATTATATTTATCGATAAAGTAAAAATTGATTTCTTTTGATACGTTGCGTTATTTTTTTTTGTCCTATTAATTTGGCATTTGAAAAAAAATATGCTGTGCGAATTTTTCGCACGGGCCTACTAGTGTATATATATATATATATATATATGTATTAAACATAGCAAGTTAACTTTTAAACTAAATATGAGCTGCAGAAGACAATAAAAATGTTGAAAGAAGCCGACTGCCGGCATCATAAAGACACGGTGTACACGTTACCTGATACCTTTTATACTTATATACCTTTAAGTTACCTGGGAATATTTGTGAAAGTTAGCAACTTATATAACTTAGGGGTGTGGCCAGTTAAAATAAATTTTACAACAGCCAAAGTAGAGGACCAATCACAACCATCCTTGCCCCACCCTAGGGACATTTGTATAAATTCTCGGAAGAAGAAAGGAAAGGAGGTAATAAATGCAGAGCGGTCGGTCCCGCTACGCCATGTGGTATAATAAAAGCTCTCAGGCCATAACTGCAAAGTACACCTTCTGCGTACCTTAAAATGCCTTCGGACCATAAAAAGAAATTAGAAATTTTTGCATATATTTCATGTATTTATATACTGTATTTTGTATAAGAAATAAATTCCTGGGAGCGGAGAAAAAAAAAAAATGAAATATCTTATATATTTTTTTCTCCCTGGGGGAGAAGGGTTTTCGGGCTGAAGATCCCCCCCAAAATGGTAAAATGTAACCATGTTTTAAGGTAAACAATATTAAAAAAATATGACTTAAAGTATTATTGCTCGTTTAATTACATTTCATAGGACTTGAAGAATCACTTAAACACCATTTCATATAGATAGTTATTATATTTTTGTTTTTCTAAAGTAATTATCGTTATATATATATATATATATGAAAAAAACAGCTTCAGGGCTGAAGCCCTCCTAAAATTAAATTCTGGATCCGCTAGTGGCTTGACGACATGATTCGAAGCAGTAAGTAAATGCAGCGATGGAACGACCAACACAACCTAACCCACATTATATTTAAAACTATATCTAAATTTTGATTTCCAGTAACAGATTTAATAATGTTAAAATATTTCAATGGCTCAATTTTCAAAACAGTCCATCGGAAATCATTCCACAAAGTCATTCATTATTAAATTCATTGAATCAAGTCTTTATTATTGAAAATAGTATTTGTACATCAAGATTTCAATGTAATTTCTACATATATGGTTTATTAAACATAAGAATAAAATTAGTTTTTTTTTAGTAAAAGTTATTTTAATTCTGCTACATATTTATATAATGATGATCAAAGGTAATGTTGATAATTAGAAAGCATTATAAACATAAACCAGCCTTTTAGAAAAGAAATTCAATTCATTAATCCTGGACCTATTTAACAAATATTATAGATTAAAATTTGTTTAAAACTATTTTTTTTATTAAATATTTCCGGATAATAATCATCAGTAATTATTTAGTAGTATCCAAAATAATCTCAAACCCCAAAACTAGCAAATTTAATGTCTTCCCTTTAGTAGCTATATATATATATATATATATATATATATATATATATATATACACACACAAACACAAACACAAACACGCACACGCACACACACACACACACACATATCTTTTATTTACATAATGATATAATAGACAGACAAAAAAAAAATTATGTATATAGAAAAAAAAAAGGAAAGGATTAAAATAAATATGACTAAGGAAACAGCAATCTCCGCACCCAGGCAAATATTCAGAAGGAATTTCGTTTAAAAATATTTTCACCCTCTAAATTTTGCTCTTGCCCATTTAAGTATATTAACACTAAAATAAAATAAACAGAAAGAAACCTATTATTATAATTATTAGAAATAACAAATATTTTATATCAAATTATACTAATTATCATTATATCAAAACCTTTTACTGATTTTAAAACTATGAGAGGGGAACACCATATTGTATTGGATGAAAGGTTTTTTAAAATTTTATTACAAGAAGAATAATTGTATAAGCAATTTTAACATCACAATATTATTATTATAGTTTAGATACAGCAAGTTTATCATTTTAATTATATATTGCTTTCATAAATTACAGTATAGTTTAAAAATAAAACGGTAAGTAAAGCAGTGTGCTGTTGAGCTGTGACTGAGTTAATTATTAATTCTGATACACACCTCAGGGGAGGGGAAGGGAGAAAAATAAACAGCCTGAAAATTTGATACAAAAATATTAATTTAATAAATATTAAATATACGCCTATTAAGAACTATTGGAAAATTCAGAAAACGTCTGTAAAATAGCGTTTGACAATAAAACAAGAAGAAAACATCTTCTTTGCAGTTTTTTTTTTCTTCTCTCAACTGGATCAATTAGTTTTAATTTATTCCTTGTCATAAAATAAATAGTTGGATATGAGATAAATAGTCAGGACTAAGTCATTTTATGATTTTTGTTATAAAAATCTAATCGATCTAAAACAATAAAAATCTTAATATGACTGCATCCTATTTATCATCTATTATATGTAGAACAGTAGACTAACTCGCTTCAATCAACAGTTTGGTTTATTATTAATCTTTGTAATATAATTATAATTAACAATAATTCTTATTTCACACACAGCTAAAACAGTCAGGGGCTTTACAAGAAATAGTAAGAAAAAAAAAAAAAAAGGTCTATATCATAAAACTTTGGCGGAACTTTTACTGGCTCATATTAAAATAAATATGGCATGTAGCAGTCAATGGAAATAAAAATACTCAGACTGATTCAACAAATTCACGAGATAAGGAGACGAGGAAAACACGAGATTAATAAAAGAAGAGATAAAACAACAAGAGATATCACGTCGCCTCAATAACCGACCACGTGACCTAACAGCACGCTAGTCAAAAATCGGCAATAACCCTGGTGCTATTGTAATCAGTCAACGCTATAATTACAACGCTAATCTGATGGTTAAAATACCACGTTACCACGAAATATTAAAAAAAAAAAAAAAAAAAAGCCTAAAATGATTAATTAAAAAGGCGCAATGTCAGGTAATTGATTCAATTTAATTAATATTACTTCGAAAGGGGGAAAAATAACCGATTTAACGAACTGAATTAATCGAAATAGAAAAGTATAATGGAATGAAAATAATTGGCCGTAACAATAAGTTATGGAGAAAAAACTAAGCTGTTTGCTTTAGACCACACGATATATGTGAAAACATTAACAAGGCGGAATTAATAATATGAAATATAAATTATAAATAATATCACAGTATAAAGAGGATAAAATGCTGATCATTTCTCTCGCTTACAGTATACTGGTCCGATTTAGAGGTTTTAAGGTATTTTAATCCATCTGTATTAATCTTTCAATTAGTCGACTCTAGCCGACTTTACCCGAGCGTTATTGCCGAACGAAATCTGACGCACGCATCTAATTCACTCTTCAGAAGTGCGAAACGCCCCTGAAGAAGTTTTCACTTCAAAAATAGCCATACACATTTGCAATTATATTTGTTAGTAATTAATTACCTGTCAGTCAGCAGTCTGCTTTCCTTTTCCGATATCCGTGGAGAGCTCTGATGAAGTCACACTATGTAATCCGAAACGTAGGCAACCAATAAATATGATTCCCACCCATACATTATATACTGTAAGAATTGTTTATTTTTATTTTTAAATCCTCTTTCTGTCTATACTCTGTGGACCATTCATAAGTGTTCTGCAAATACATATTTTATTTAAATCGGAAATATAATGTAGGTCGAAATATACTATTATACAATCACAGCACGGCTTTGATTTGTTATATAAGAAAGTATGTATTATTAGTACTATAGATAAGATGCAATGCCGCTACAATGGCTGACCAGCTAGCTAGTGGCGTGGCGGCAGATGTGCCACTGGCAATAACAGAGGCCAGATGGCATTGCAATTCCAAGGTCGGTTCGGAATCGAAATTCTATTAGCAGTAGTGGACCCGGGATCCAAGGGAGGGGGGAATTTTCTCCCTCCGAAATAACCATTAACAAAGCAATTACCTCTGTTATACTTACAATCATAGGAGCAGACTTTCGATTTTGATTGGTGGGAAGGGCGATGGAATAATAATTAAATAAATAAAAAAAAAAATGGCGAGAGCTTTTGTTATGTGTAAAAATTCTACATAACTAGGTTGGCTCATGTGAATAATTCGCAGAACATTTCCTTTCATCATCATCATAATCCATCCTCTTGAACCGCATTAAGCAGTGTGAGGAGGAAGTATATAGTGTCTTCTACAGCTCTGAAGGTCTTCAACAAGACGCTTTTTCACAAGACGCTTCAGGACGTTCTATCGTCCCATTGAAGACCTCTTCTCTGGAAATCGCTCTTTAGCTCATCTTCCCATTTCCTTCTAGGCCGTCCTCTACTTCTCTTGCCGTCTACTTTAGATCGATAGGTTTCGCTAGCTATTCTGTTTGGTTCCATGTCCTATAAGAAGATGTCCTAGCCATCTCAGTAGATTCTCCTCAATCATCATTGGCTGGTTTAATATTGAGGTTCGACCTGATGGTGGTGTTGCGTACTCTATCTCATCTCGTTTTCCCCTCAATCTTTCGGAGATCGCATTTTTCACGCTTGTATCCTTGCTTGTTGTTTCTTTGGCTGGAGAGTACGTTAAAATGGTAAGAAATGTTGATCTGAAAACAGCTACTTTTGTTTTCTTTTCCACATTAGAACATTTTCTTTGGTGAAGAAATAGCTAAAAAATATGAAAATAAGCTGATCCTATGTATAATGTAAGGAAGGAATTAATATTTTTTCCTTGGTCGATTACAATATTTCATTTAACATAATAGACCAAAATATTTGTACAAATTCCTTTGCTAGGAGCTATTTTTAAACGCTGACTGGAAAGATAATAAAGCCTTAATCAAGAGATTTTTTTATTTATTAAAAAAAATAAAATGTAAGAACAAACAAACACTTTTCATAAATTAAATTAATAAGTGTAACATGAGCATAAGTTGCAGTAACAGCTTACATTACACTATAGGCAGCTACATTACTCTATAGCAGCTATAAACAATAGAGTTAATATATCAGCCAGGAAAAAAAGTGTAGTAGAAAAAAAAAATGCAATATCTTTAAAGAGAAGTAAATTATAGGTATACCAAAACTAATGGATTGGAACTTTGTTAATAATTGTCCGATTATCAATAGACCCTCTGTCAATAAAAATGATTAAAATTATATATATTTCTAATCGATTTTTACGATTATTTTTTTTGTTTTGTAGGTAATTTATTTAGTAATCTTTCTAATATTATAGTTGCAATCAAGAAAAAAAAAGCATATTTTCTGAGTTTTTCGCAAATAAAGTTTGTTTTTCTTCATAACATTTTATCCAGAAATTTCGAAGGAATAGGACTATTTTTTCGCATGTGAAGGAGAAGAATATCTTCAAAATGAGTGGTCAATCATTGGATTTGATGAAGAATTGACGAAGTTATGGCGTACCGAAAAAAAAAAAAAAAAACACCTTTTAGAAATAATATATAGGATGATGGTGAAACAAATAACGAAGTGTGTTCTAACTAAGGAATAGCTGCCCTTAGTGGTAAACAATTGGACATTGAGAAACTCAATAAGACTCCGATAAGAGAGGCAAAGCAAATCGTCGTACAAGTTAATGAAGACAAAACAAACTCTTTACGACTGGGAATGCGCCTCGATAGATAAGGGCCACCGCACAGTTCATCCCAAGATAGCCTTCACTCGATGGATTGCGACGTTTAAATTTCATCTTGACCTGTCTTAGTGAAGCTGACCAGGATCAATATTACCACGGTAGAACAAATCAATTTCTACATGTAATGGGTCAAACTAAAAGTAGTTAATGCCCAACATCACAATGCCTGCAGGACCCAACGCACATTGCCTTCCAACGCAAGAGGAGAATTATTTTAGGGTCGCAAACTGTCGATGATAGAATTAGTTATCTTAGATCAAACAATAAAGACAATCCTCGTAGATTAGGACAATTCTTAATAAAGGAGATAAATGTAGCTATTTAAGTCCCTTAGGCTCTTTTGATATTCATAAACGTATATGTAAGTTCAACAAAACTTCTGTTGGCCAACAAAACTATTATTTTTTGTAAAGAATGAAGAGAAGATAGTTGAAATGATCAGTCAAAAATAAATAGTAATATTTATTTCAAATCTTGACAATTTTTCCAGTAATTCTTCCCATTTCTGTGGTCACACTGACAAACTTTCTCCCATAAAACTACCTCATTTAAACCTCACCTGACATATTATATGTATTTAAGTAATGCCTAAAAACAGGTTTCTTTTAGCGTAAAAACTGGTCCAATTGATTTATCTAATCACGCTCCTGAAATATATAAATAGATCTTGTAGGATCTCGCCACAGAACGCAATTCATTACTAACAAATAACATAAGATAGTTTCGAACGTTCACGATTTTATGATAACGATATCCTTTAATCCTTGAATTAAGGCGCTCAGTGAGAGAGTTCAAGAGTAAAACTGATTATCATCAATTAGTTTCAGACATCAATTCATCATCGCACCTTTAAAAATTACGCTTTATAGAACAACAAAAATAAAGTTTAAGCTAGAATGTACGATTCATTTTTATTGGTCGCATAATTAATAAACTAACAAACATATAGTAGATACCTTAGCTACACGGGCGGATTTACGGGGGAGAGGGAGGAGGGCTTTATGGATGAAGCCCACCCCCCCCAAAAAAAATATAAAATATAACCATGTTTTATGGAAAAAAATATTAAAACATTATCTCTTAAAATAATATTGTGGATGTAATCACATTTAAAAGGACTTAAGGAATCACTTAAACACCATTCCATAAAGGTAGTTAGTTTATTTCTTTTTTTCCAAAGTAATTATCGTTATTTTTATAAAAAAAAAAAGGCTTTCCGGCTGAAGATCCCCTTCCCCAAAATTAAATCCTGGATCCGCTAGTGCTTAGCTATAATTTTATTAATTCGCAATTTTCGGAATACTAAAACGTCTAATTATGTGTATGTATATAGTATAAATTCTACATACAAGTTTACATTAAACTATAATGAACAACCACTAACATACTCTATATATATGTTTTTATAATAAACAACATAAGATAGTTTCAAATAATCATAATCGGAGTTAAAAGATAATGAATAATATTCTCGAATACTTGTATTAAGGCGCTCAGTGAGAGAGTTCAAGAGTAAAACTGATTATCATCAATTAGTTTCAGACATCAATTCATCATCGCACCTTTAAAAATTATGTTTTACGGGACAATAAAAATATTTCTGTTAGGATGTTCGATTCATTTCCATTAGTCGCATTATTCATAACCTAAAGAACAGATTGTAGATACACCTTACTTAGCAATTAATATTCTGAATTCGAAATTATATCAATGAATAGAACACTTCTTCTTTCTAAACCATTTTAATTTTTGAACGAGGACACAAAATGCGTCTCAAATCTCAATAACGTACCAGACGTCAGACCATCTAATCTTTCTAGCTCACTGTGAAAAATCAGATAACCACAATTTCAAACAATCTTACATTATTAAATATAATTTAACAAGAATACGAAAAAGAATCTAAATCACTCTTCTTTTTATACATAGAGATATATTAATGTGATAAGTATTCGAAATAATATTATCTACTATCTGATATCAGAGAATTTACGCAACAGTTCAAGGTTCAAGACGACCAATATTTCTGTATAATCAGGGAAAGTTTAATAAAAAAAAAAAATCATTCTTAAATATAGACTGCCTACTAAGAATATTATTAATATCATCCGTCTAGCCAAGAGAATAAAATTATATAAACAGAAGCCATTATAAAGAATTTGATGGCATTCTTCCTGAGAGAAGAAAAGCAAAACAAACACACAGCTACCAAAATAGAATCTTCAAGAGTTATAAATATGCAACAATGAGAAACATGAAACCGTCAGTACTGAACCGAACACACCTCAGCATAAATAATACCCTATACAACACTACAGTATGCTATTTAGTATTTAAAATGCAATCATTTTCCATCAACCTTAAACATTAAACATACATATCTGTTGTCAAGAAATCAGCCTTCAACTTAATGCATTTCAATAATTTTGAATTTTTATATTGTTATGGAACAGAAAGGGGAAGTTTATATTATTTCAAAGTTTATATTATACAACAGTTCGAAAGCTGATAATTAATAGGTCTCAAAGCACAACTAATTACAATTCAATATTTTAAATAAATAACAAAATATAGGTTTAAATAATTAAAATAGATAATATGTTTATTAAAGATTGAGGCGCTCAGTGAGAGAGTTCAAGAGTAAAATAAGTAATTATCATCATTTAATTTCAGACTTCACTTCATCATTGCGCCTGCAAAAATTACAAATTTATGGGGCAGTAAAAACAAGATAAATTGGGCGATAAAACCAGCGATTCTCCTCCAAAAGAATTCTCGTACACTTCCCATTTTTCCCCCAAAAATTTTTTACTTTCCCAAATTTCTTTCGTTTTTCCCAGTAAATTAAGTGAGTATAGCACCCTATAATGTAAGCTCTTATTGCAATTTATACTCTTTTTATGAGAAAGAGTTAGTCAGGGGTGAGATCAAATAAATAATAAATTAAAATATATTAATTATTTTAATTTTGGCCAAAAGATTGGCAAAAATTAAAATAATTAATAAATTTTAATTTATTATTTACTTGACCTCACCCCTGACTAACTCTTTCTCATAATATATCAACGGTCAACCATCTCTACATCATTATACTCTTTTTAGTGTAGTTTATTAAAATTATATTCGAATACTGGTCTGCACCTATACAAGCAGGATGTTTAGATTCTCCTCCAGAAAATTTCCGTAATTTCTCGTTTTCTTTTCTTTATTTTTTCTCAGATCTTTAAGTTTTTTTTTTTAGTTTTAATAAATGACGATGCCTGAAAAATTAAATTATTGACTTCAAGGAGGGTTTTTAAATTTCTCAACTTTTTTTTAACGCAGTAATTAAAATTATATTATATTTTATTTCTTTATGTTTTCCGTAAATATGGTGTCACCATACTCTTTTCTAACAATAACCATTGTTCATTTTATGAAAAATGTTTTATTTTATTTTATTATTCAATAAAATAAAATGCATAAGATTTTATTATTCTTTTTCCAAAGGAAGGGAGCATACAACAAGATATAACATATTTTAAAGGGGTCGAGATGAAATCCAGGTAATTGCTACGAAGATAAAGTTACGGAGGAAGATGAACAGATAGATCTAAGGACATGGGCCAAAATAGAGGCACAACATAGTTCCCTCTCGGATGGA